TGGAATCAGCCGCTGATCAGTTTCAGCAGCAGCTGACTTGGGGATGCCTGGGGTTCTTAAGTTGAATCTGTATGTAAGTCAGAACTGGCGTCCAGATTCAGCCACTGTTGAAACTGGACGCCAGTTCCGACTTACATACAGATTCAACTTAAGAACAAACCTACAGTCCCTATCTTGTACGTAACCCGGGGACTGCCTGTAGTACATAATACTCATTATCTATGTCAAGCTGCAGTTGCTGCAGGTGCAGCACATTAGGAATAAGAACTAAATCACACATACAAACACAAGAGCACTTACATTTTATTAAACTAAATTTTAAATGTCAGAAATTCACATTTGCAATTGCAGCAGTGTCCTGAGTTCTTCCCTGTAGCATAGATGTGCTCTTACAGGGGCTATGTACACTGAACACTTAACAGTATTTACACTTCTTTAAAATAAAAACTTTAAAAGGATAAGCTCTAAGAATAAAAAGAGAATGCAGGAACAAGCCCATCACCAACAGCGGGGGCTATCCTATCCTATTCATTGCACTCAATGTAGCATGTATGATTATTTGTCCTATATGTAGGTGCAAGGAGCTCCTGACCCCCAAGGACTTTGGAAGACCATGATGGCTGAATTGGAGGAGCTAAGGAATGCAGAGAGATTCATAGATGAGACTTTCCAGGACTCAAGAGAATGATCCCATCCCTGGTCACACAGCCTCTGTGCTGTTGAGGAGAGTGAGTCTCAAGAAACAGAACTTGCAGTCATTGTGAATGAGTGGATGTTTCCAGAGAACCAATGTGCAGCAGCAGTCAAAAAATCAAACAGACTATTGGATATAATAAAAAAAGGGATAGCGTAAAGACACATAATATCTTATTACTTCTATATAATTTCATGGTATACCCACATCTTGAGTATTGCATGCAAATGTTGTCGTCTTATCTAAAAAAAAAAAAATGCTGTATACATCAGATACAAGTTTATAACTAATCAGGGCATATCAGCAAACAACCACCTTACGTTATCATGGTCATGGGGAAAGTTCAACTATCCAGACATCTGATGGGAAAATAGCACAGCAGGACGTGTTCTTGGAATGAATTGGAGACGATATTTTGTTTCAGAAAATGGAGAAAGCTTCTAGGGGAGCTGTTCTAGATTTGGTTATGACAAACTGGTTGAGAATGCAAAAGTGAAAGGCACTTTGAGTGAAAGTAATCATAAAACAACTGAGTTAATAACTTTACGGAAGAGGGGCAGGGAGAACTGCAAAATAAAGACAATGGATTTAAAGAGGACAGATGTTAGCAAACTCATGGAGATGATAAGGTCCTATAGGAAGCAAGTTCACGAGGGAGGGGGAGGAAATTTGAAGACAGCTGGCAGTTTTTCCCATTGGGTAGAAAAGACTAGGGCTATATCTATAATGCCCCTGTTTTTCACAAAAAATATGGAAACAAGGCAAAGCGTGGAATATTGCTGTGCCTCATTTGCATAATTAATTAGGCTCCATTTTTGCACAAGAAGCATTTGCGCAAAAAGAATCCATTTACATGGCCCCTTTTTTTCGCAAAACCCCCTCTTGTGCAAGAGCCATTCTTTCTGAAAAAATGCAGATGAACAGCTCTTGTGCAAGAGGGGTTTTTGCACAAAAAGGAGTGGTATAGATGGCTCCCTTTTGCGTAAAAGCTTCTTGTGCAAAAAAGGAGCCTGATTAATTATGCAAATGAGGCACTGTGATAGTCCATGCTTTGCCTCATTTGCATATTCTGCGCAAGAGGCTATAGCGTAGATATAGCCTAGAAGTACAGCAAGAGAGAGCTGTGGCTTATCCATGGTGTCCCCAGTGATCTAAAAACCCAGAAAGAGTCCCACAAAAGGTTGTAAACTAGGTCAAACTACAAGGATGAATATAAGCAAACAACACAAGTGTTTAGGCACAAAATTAGAAAGGCCGAGATACAAAGCAACCTCATTCTAATTAGAGACAAAAAGGGTAACAAGAACACATTGTATAGAAAAGACCAAAGTACAGGGTAGGCCTATTCTATGAGGGGGAAAAACAATAAAAGAAAATGTGGAAATGAAAGAGGTGCTTAATGGATTGTTTTGGTTTCACCAACAAGGTTGGTGGTGATTGGATGCTAAACATAGTGTAGACCAGAGACAATGAGGTAGGATTAGATGCAAAAAAAGGAAAAGAACAAGTTAAAAATTATTTAGAGAAATTAGATGTCTTCGGGTCATTGGAGTCTGATGGAACACATCCTAGAATACGCAAAGAGATGACTAAGCTGGTACCTGAGCCATTAACTATTATCTTTGAAGTCATGGAAGATGGCAGAGTTTCCAGAAAACTGGAAAAGGGCAATAAGGATATTCATTTGTGTACTGGGAAAGATAGAGCAAATAAATAAGCAGTCATGTCAAACTAACGTGATAGCTTTGACAAGGTAACATGCCTTTTGAATGGGAGGGAAGTGATTGACATGGTATAGCTTGACTTTAGCAATGTTTTTGGTACTAATGAAACCATGATGAAGCTACAATACGGTGGGTGCCAAACTGTTCGGAAAATAGTGCCCAGGGTGTAGTTATCAGTAGTTTACAGTGATGCTATAAGGGCATAATGAGTGTTGTCCTGCAGTGATCAGTTCTAGATCCATTTCAATTCAAAATCTTTGTCACTGCTTTAGATAATGGCTTTGAGATGCGGGAGGGGCAATAACAGTAACAATCCCCCAAAACATGTGGACAGAAGCAGAGCGATGTAACCTGGGGAGCAAAGAGAGCTGGAGCCACCTTACTGTGCTTCCCCTGATGCTGCCAGTATGTGTGGGGATGAGGCAGGGCAAGGGCAGAGCCAGAAAGGGGAGGAATAGATGTGTGGGTTCTCTAGTCCAGGCCCTCCACATCCTCCCCTCATCAGTCACCTCTGCTTAGAGCGTGTCCTTATTAAGTTTGTGAATGATAACACATGGAGAGGGGTTTGCAAGTGGTTTGGGCCACATACTAAATACCAGTCAACAGTATAAAGGCAAAAATGGCAAACCTGTGTTGTAAGCAAGATGCAATAAGTAAAGAATGTGCTGTACTTTGCACTGATTAATCCTCAACTGGAGCACTGGGCAAGAAGCCTGAAACATGACAACAATCACTGGGTCTATAGAAACTGGCTACCTCTGGTATTAGTGTTTAACAATAGGACTGTGTCTACATTGGCATGATTTTGCGCAAAAGCAGTTGCTTTTGCACAAAAACATGCTGCCTGTCTACACTGGCGGGGAGTTCTTGCGCGAGAACACTGACGCGAGAACACTGACGGCTTCTTGCGCAAGAACTATGATGCTCCTGCTCAGGAGTAAGCCCTGTTGTGCAACTGTTCTTGCGCAAGAGGCCAGTGTAGACAGGCCACATGAATTTCTTGTGCAAGAAAGCCCGATAGCTAAAATGGCCATCAGAGCTTTCTTGTGCAAGAGAGTGTCTACACTGGCACGAATGCTCTTGCGCAAAGGCGCATGCCAGTGTAGACGCTCTCTTGTGCAAATACTTTAACACGAGAACTCTTGCACTAAAGAGTATTTGCGCAAGATCATGCCACTGTAGACGTAGCCTAGCAGTTTCTTACACCTTGTAACTATGTAGCTGCTCCCTGTAGGGTTGCGCTGCATTCGGTAGCAATGTCTTATAAGGGCAGCTGTCTTACAATCAAACCTGTCAGTAATTGCTACCAGGAGCAGCTCTATGCAAAGATGGTGCTACTTCCGGGAGCAATATATTATAGGAGCCGATCCTTACGAGCGTACCAATCAGAAATTGCTACGAGTAGCGGCGTCTCACACGGCCGCGGCTCTTTCCGGACCCCCGGAACGGTGCTTGGGGCGCCCGGGTTGTACGGGGTGACTAGTTTAGCGGCGCACGCCGTACTACCGGAAGTCGCTGAGGTGCCCGGA